CTGCCTGCAGCCTCCTCCTGAGGTAGCTGGGACTACAGGCATGCGCACCACGCCCGGCTCATTTGGGGAAGTCAGTCTGCCAGTGCCGGGACTCGCCAGTGGGACACCACCCGGGGTTCTAGCGTGGCGCGTCCGGGCAGGAAAGGGTTAAGGGTCCCCAGAAACCCCAGGCACCCCCCCCATCCCCCGCAGGGCTGGGGAGAGGCCAGAGGCAGAAAGCCACACGCTAATGGGCGCTCTGGCCATTTTTCATATTTCACGGAGGTCATCACAGGCAATGGGGGTTGCCCCGGCTCGCCAGCCCAACTAACAGGCCTTTGCTGAGTGCCAGCCGCATGCGGAGCCGCCAGAACGCGGCCCTGCGGAGCTGGTCCCCAACATCAAAACAGTGTGCGGTGCCCAGCCCGGACGTGTTCCGCAGGGACAGAAGCAGCAGGTGCCTGGCAAACAGCAGGTGCCTAGTAAATGCAGCTGCCCTGCTTAAATGCCCAGGTGAGCAAGGGGAGGGGGAAGGGGGAGTGATGAGGGAAGGAAATGGTGACAATTCCAGGCCCCAGTCTGAGTCCCTCTGGTGTAGCAGGCACCGCACTGGGATGTCTTTCCAACCTCAGGATTTTGTGTCTTTTCTTTACATTTGGCTATACCCGTGTACCGTCACTTACATTTCTAAAAAAAAAAAAAATCTAAAATGAAAACTGTAGACCACTGCTCGAAATGTTATTATAGTTATATTTTCCATCAACATTAAATAAAATGCATATAGAGATAAAAACCTACCCGTCCATTTGCCAACTAAACACTTTACTTGTCCAGGGCAGCTTAGAATCTACGACTTCACAGACCTGAGGGACTTTTTCCTTCATGGATCTTTTCCTCCATTAAAAAGCAACTATGTTAGGCCGGGCGCGGCGGCTCGCGCCTGTCGTCCCAGCACTCTGGGAGGCCAAGGCTGGTGGGTCGCTCAAGGTCAGGAGTTCAAAACCAGCCTGAGCAAGAGCAAGACCCCGTCTCTACTATAAATAGAAAGAAATTAGCTGGACAACTAAAAATATATATAAAAAAAAAAGTTAGCCGGGCGTGGTGGCGCATGCCTGTAGTCCCAGCTACTCGGGAGGCTGAGGCAGGAGGATCGCTTGAGCCCAGGAGTCTGAGGTTGCTGTGAGCGAGGCTGACGCCACAGCACTCGCTCTAGCCTGGGCAACAGAGTGAGACTCTGTCTCAAAAAAAAAAATATGTAGATGGTAAAATTATATCTTACAGCTGCATTGGTATAAAGATAAACATATTGTGTTAGGACTAGATAGAGGTGCCGGCTGCACAGCGTGGTGAGAGTGCTCCATGCCACTGAGCCGTACGCTTCCCAGCGGTGGATTCTGTGTTACGTGAGTCTCACCTCAATTTTTAAAATGGATATATTCCTATTACACATGAAAACATTTTCTCTGACCTAAAAGTTTATTTCTTTTTTCTGATTTTAAAAGAAGTGGAGGCCGGGCGCGGCGGCTCTCGCCTGTCATCCCAGCACTCTGGGAGGCCGAGGCAGGTGGATTACTCAAGGTCAGGAGTTCGAGACCAGCCTGAGCCAGAGTGAGACCCCGTCTTTACCAAAAATAGAAAGAAATTAACTGGCCAACTAAAAAAATATATATACACACACACACACACACATATAAATTAGCTGGGCTGGGCATGGTGGCGCGTGCCTGTAGTCCCAGCTACTCGGGAGGCTGAGGCAGGAGGATCGCTTGAGCCCAGGAGTTGGAGGTTGCTGTGAGCGAGCTGACGCCACGGCACTCCCACTTAGCCTGGGCGACAGAGTGAGACTCTGTCTCAAAAAAAAAAAAAAAAAAGTGGTAGCAGAGGGTGTTAGAGCGGGCGGGGGGGAGGTTGGGGAGTTGTAAGTGGATACAAAGTTGCAGGCAGACCCCGGCCGTCCCAGCGCTTTGGGCTTGAGCCCAGGAGTGGAGGTGACGTGAGCTGTCATCGCACCACGGCTTGCAGCCTGGCGACGACAGAGCGAGACCCAGTCTCAAAAAAAAAGAAAGAAAAAAAAAAATCATTAGCAATAAACAGTTTAGCTACACAGGAGAAGGCAGTCGTGTTCTGCAGCCCTGTGGAGCAAACGTGGTTAGTGACAGTTAACCGCATGGAGCCACATCAGGGGATCGTCAATGCCACAACGCAAAGAAATAATAAATGTTTGAGGTGGCAGATATGCTGATTGCCCTGATTTGATCTTTATGCCTTGCATGCATGTATTGAAATATCATCCTGTCCCATAAATATGTACAATTATTACGTGCCAACTCAAAATAAAAGGAAAAAAAAAAAAAGAAATGAAAACAGTTCTGCCGGTCCCTAAAAGCAGTGCGGGTCTGGTGCTGCCTTCTTTCCTGCAGGTGAGCCAGACTCACCTACGCGGACCTCGCAGCCGGCGCTCCTCAAACCACGGCCCCGGGCCACCTGCGGGTGTTTTTGCCCGTTTGTTTTTTTTTACTTCAAAATAAGATATGTGCATGTGCACAGAATTTGTTCATCATTTTTTTTTTTTAAGCTATAGTCCGGCCCTCCAGTGGTCTGAGGACAGTGAACTGGCCCCTGTTTAAAAAGTTTGAGGGCCCCTCCTGTATGTGGCCAAAGGTAGAGTGACCCCAATCCAGGCAGGCTGGGGTCTGGTCATCTTTCTAAATCCCACTCAGAGCTTCCTCCCTGGTCCCAGCCCTGTTCCCTCCCGGCTCCTTATCTTAAAGGCTTCAACTCCTCCTTTCGAATGTGCCGGCCTACCAGTACGCCAGATTCACCCGACTCTTGGAGAAAAACTCTCTGTGAACCAAGGAAAGACATTCAGGGCTGCAT